TTAGGGCTGTAAAGTTAAGGCAAGTTAAAGTTGTCCGTACTTAACTAATTAATCACTACGCCATGATGTATGGGGGAGTGGAGGTGTAGCTCCACCATTCTTGACCACAGCACTAGATAGAGATGAGTGGTCAGCTTCACACCCTGATGAAGCAGTTCCCGTAACCAATTGCACACGAGAGTGGACGGGCTCCACAGCCGGCCTGGAAACTACGGAGAAGAGAAAATCTCTTGCTCTTGCCGGGAATCGAACCGGTCGTCCAGCTTGTGGCCTAGTTGCTATACCGACCACACACTATGAGACGTTATAACTTCTTCCGCTAGAAAATCTGCAAAGCATTGGGATAGACCAAGGCATCACTCGATAGGAGATCAACATGAATTCCTTTTCTTTCGCCTCGTCAAGAGCTGGAATAATTGCAGTCTTTGATAGACTGTAATCATGAAACTAGATCCCGCAGGCAAAACTGCAATGCAATCCTAATCTTATCATGCGACTAGGCGGCACAAAAGGGATTTCAAATGTGAATGTGTACGCTATACTTAGTTCAGTTACGTGTCTTCAAGTTTCATTCCTCTTTCGTATAGGTCAAGGGTTTCCAAACTACGGCCCGCGAAAGAATTATGCAGAAATGCGCCAATTGAACTAATTTTCCAGTGAGTACTTGTAAATGTGATTCCGAGCTTACTGACCCGACATATTATACTGCAGTTCGATGGCTTAGCTGTGGAAAGGTTCTTTCGCGCTTCTTTCAGCTCATGAATGAAATGTATATATTTCTTACCGAGAAAAACCATCACGAACCACTCTTATCAGATACGGAGTGGCTTTGGAAATTAGCATTTTTTACTGATCTGGTGAACCATATGAACAATTCGAATTTAAAGTCGCAGGGTGAAAATAACTCAGTCTGTGATTTATTTGCACTTATCAAGGCATTCAGAGCAAAGTTGATACTTCTGGAAAGCCAAGTGAAAAGTTGTAACTTTGCAGAGTTGCATAAAAAGGGTGAAGCAGAATTTCCTTCCTCGTTTGCAAATTTAGCCATTTCAGGTTTGAAAGAACAATTTCGGAAGGGATTTGCTGATTTGGATTCCAGTGCTCAGGAAATTAGATTGTTTCAAAATCCGTCTGACTGTGATGCTGCAGATGTCCCAAGTCAAATTCAAATGGAAATTACTCGTATTGAACTTCAGGAAAATTATCATATTAAAATTAAATACAAGAAAGGAAATTTGATCGGATTTTATAAATTTCTGAACTCTGAGCAATTTCCGAATTTAAAGAAATTTGCTTGTAAATTTATCTCCATTTTTGGGACGACGTATCTGTGTGAACAAACTTTTTTTCCCAGATAA